TATAAATACATATACATCAGAGTACTTATACAAGTTATATGATTATATACATATTACCAAATTATAATGTCTATAGGCAATAAAGGCATGCCAAATGAATGGGCAAAAATTGAGTTGGTTTCATTTATCTGAGTACTGACAGCTGTATCTGCTCCATGGCTCTGAAACACATGACTCCATGATTCTCCCACTGGACTTCAAGCATGCCTTCTTATTTTAACAGCTGTATTGGTTCTACTTTCTTCCCACTTTTGCCTGGTCCTTCTCTATCCTTGACCCTCAAATGCCTATTCAATCCAGATTGCCTTCCCAATAGTTTCTGCTCAGAGCAGGGATTTGTCCTGAAGGGAGTTTTACTTGGTTTCTTATGAAAGTCCCCAGGGCCAAACTTGCTCAAGAAACATTCCACATCCATTGCTGTTCAGTTTTGTTTTGTTTTGTTTTGTTTTGTTTTCCCCTCTCTCAGGCATGGCTGCTGCTTTCCTGTTCACACACACACACACACACACACACACACACACACACACACACACCATGTTACTGGGTTTTGCAGACAACAGAAATTGCATTGCCTTCCCTCCTCTTCCTCCTACATGCTCACTGATACTGTTTGTGGAGACACGCCATCATCTCTTTGCTTTACATTACTATATATGGGTTGTAGGTTTGGGGCTGCACCATCTACACAGCTTTGTCTGCTTTTATTCTAAAAGGTGAAAAACTATGCCTCCATGATTATTTCTCATTTCTCCCCGAATTTTTAACAATAATAAAGTAAGGCTGCCTCAAAATCACTAATTCCTAAAAACAAAAGCCCAAGTTTCCAATTCTAAATTAGAGTCAAAGATGAAAAGCCCTTCACAGGAGCAGCACACAGAAAATATCCACAATTATGTATTGGGAATGAACTAAACATGTCATCAGATTTAAATATTTATATTATCTGCAAGAAAATCTATACTGACATTATGAGCCATTCTCTTGCAGGCAAAGATCAGCCTGAATAAACATCCTACGGAGCACGAAACACATTCTTCTCAAAAAGTAAATCCCATCTGTGATTAAAAGATTCTGTAGCTTAAAATATTTCTGGGACTGATTCCAGAAGCACATATATAATTTACAGTGTCCAACTACTTATTGCCAACAATCATTCTGTTCTCCCTATTTTTATCATAAATACAAGAGAAAACAATTTGGGGAGTGGAGCGCACATCCTACTTTTTACCAGTGAAAGTAAAATCCAGATACATCTGTGTGAAATCCATTTATCCCCAGGTTTACATACTCCAAACATGAACTAAGATCTAGTTTCAACTCTGTTAGTATAGAAAATTGAAAGTCTATCTTAGAAAAACAGAATTAGCTCAAGACTACTGTCTTTCCAATTTAATAATTCACTAAATTTTACAGGTTAAAGGCACTGTGCTTGGCACTAAAAGATAAGAAAACAACTGAGATGTATTCAGTCTTTAGAGGTTCAGGTGCTGGAGTATGGACCTTAAGAGAGCCATCTGCATGTATTCGGGAAGAGAAGCTAGTGCAGATATCATCTAAAATTAGACCCAAAAGGCTTCACCATAAGCAAAGTACTTAAGCACAGGGAGAATCATGGTAGTAGAAAAAAAGCAACCCATAAGGCAGACAGTATGAGACAAATTTTGAAGGATAAGTAGGATTTCAGCAGGCAGAAAAACTGCAGGAAGGACACACCAGTTGGAGGGAACAAAGGCACTAGGAGACACAAGACAACCTGACTTGGTGGGAATCATCTATAAATGGTGAAGGAAATGAAAAAGGTTTTAGGCTGTAAGATCTTAAAAAAGAGCTCAGATTAGCTTAATAGACTTCAATTTTCTTCTTAATTCTACATGTTACAATAATTTATCTCATTCCAAATGTAGATTTTCAGATAAATCAGAAAAATGTGCAAGCATGAAAATAAAAAGGGTTAAAATGCTCAGTTCATAACATAATTAGTAGCAACTAGATAGTCAAGCATCACTGATAGGAACTAAACAATTTAAATGGATGCCAAGTCATATTTCAGTGCTTAACATAATTTACCTACCATAGATTTAGAGACTCTAACTTTTAATACTGGAAATCTGTCTTTTTATCAAAGACTGATAAAAGAGAACAACTAGTACAGTGTTCAATATAACATGGAAAGTCAAAAACTAGGTTAACTAAAAAGGCTGTTCTGGTCCTAGCCACCACAAAAATATTAGAAACCACAGAGAAAATACTAAATATTAAATTGATTAATATTTTTAAAAATACTTTTCACAACCAAACTTGTTGCAGTAAGTTCTACAAAGAGAATACTCCATAGAAATTATCAAATAAAATAAATCTAAGTAGGGCTATAAAATGCATGTTTTTCTACAAGCTATTATATTAATAATGTTATTTTTCATAAACTACTAAGATACACACAGACACACAACTGATTCACAGAATAACCAAAGAGGTACTACAGTATAATGAATAAATCAAGGATGTTAAAGGCCTAGATCTTCATGTGAAAAGTCACTGCTAGTACCATCTGCTAGTCATGTTGAGTATTACTAGTACTTCATCTCTATTAGTTTTCCAGTTCCTCCTGTATACAATGAATATAACAATAATTGCTTGTTCCTTCACTATAACAAATGAGATTATGAATGTCAAAATACTTTGTAAACCAAAAGGTGTCACACCATAGACTATGAAATTGAATACTTTCTCACTGATCCTTTACCCCCCAGAGACACACCCATTTCTTCTTTCCTTTACTCTTGCACATTCTGACTGATCAGCAAATCTAGTATATCCTCACAGTGCATTCCAAATATAGCCGCATCTCACCAAGGCATTTCTTGCAGTTGGAAGCAGAGACAGCTCCCACTCATTCTTCAGTACGCACCTTCCAACTACTCTTTCTGCTTCCACTTTTCCTAAGTCTCCAATTCACAAAAGAATAAAAAAGACCTTTAAAATACCTAAACCAAATGGTGCCACATTTCCAATGCTCCCACTCTCCAATGCCCCCTTTACCCTAGGAAAAAACCTCAACTCCTAACCATGGCCTGGAGCCCATTTGAGACATGATCCAAGGCAATTATATCTCTTGCCACTGGCCACTTCACTCATGGTGCTATTTAAGCACTCTGCCTGTGCACTCCTACCTTGGCACCTTGCATTTCCCAGCTCCTCTTTGTGGATAGTTCAAAAACACACAGTACTGCATATTTTCTCACTTGGTCCCAACCTGGTCAAATCTCACCACCTCAGAAAAGCCTTCCCAAAATACTCTTTGTAAAAGGATAAGTTCTCTGCTCATCATTGTTTACCCTGACTCTACTCTCCTCCTTAGCCCTTTCTATTCTCAAATTATATCACTTATTGCTTGCTTACTTTTCCACTAGAATAAATGCATCATGGGCCAAGAACTTTGTCTCCTCTTGTTAACTGTATCCCAGTTCTATGTACCCAGTAGAAGCTGAATTAAAATTTGCCATACTGGAGAGAAAAAACAATTTTCATGCCCTCCGTTAAATAGTATGCTTTCCACAGAAAATAATAGAGTGCTCATAAACAACCTTAATGCCACAAGTAGAACCTGACATTTGAGTAACCATAAGAGACTTCATCCCACCTTGGAATTGGAAGTAGACTCCAAGAAACAAAGTCTGTTGCCAAATCCTTCTGCTGCCAGACATAGCTTCTGTTGTTCTTTGTGGATAGTTGCGGTACACTGCAGGACCACCTCATCATCCTGCAGAGCAGGAAAAACAAGAAGAAAAGGTGAAATTCAACATAACTAATCTAAAGTAAATCTAGAAGAACATTTTAGTGTATTATTAAAAATCTGAGCCAAGGGCTGGGGATTTAGCTCAGTGGTTTTGCCACTTGCTGTGCAAGCACAAGAACCCGAGTTCAATCCCCAGTACCAAAAAAAAAAATCTGAGCCAAATATAAGAACAACTGTCCAAAGAGGGGCGGGGGGGGGCGGGGAGTGGGATGAGGACTCCAAAATCAATTCCTAAAGCACCTTTTATTTGCAAAAAAAGAGTAATAACTGGTTGAGGGAAAAGAGAGAAGCCATTCACAACAATCAATGGGTTTCTCATTGTTGCTACTGATCCCAGAGGCAACCTGCATGGATAATGAAAATACAGGATTTTCATATTAGCACTCTTACACACTGTTTGAATCATAAAAATTATCAAGAAATTTTCTGATGTATTCCAAAGACATAAAGGATCATCAAGGGAACAGAGGGCCAGGGATTTAGCTCAGTGGTTCTACCGCCTGCCCTGCAAGCACAAGGACCCAAGTTCAATCGCTGGTACCAAAAAAAAAACGAATGAAACAGACTCTAACAGCAGGTACATATGCTATTCCAAAACTAACACAGTATAGCAGGTCAGTAAATGAACTTCTCAGTTCAAACTGACTAGTCATCTTAGTGCAACCATATATTGATTATATGATTGTATTTGAGATGATCTTGGACTGCTTAAAAATGTATAGAGAGACCATTTGTTAGTTTAATCTTCAAAAGTACAACAATGGTTTTCAATCAATTAATGAATCAGGATTACAGGAAAAACTGCACATGGGAAAAGACAATAAACAGAAGTCTTAGTACAGGCAGAAAGATCAAAACCTGGATTCCCATCTGAGCTCGGCCATGACTACAGCATGTGATCTTAGATAAGATACTGAATCTCTAAAAGTTGCATGTGAACTACCACAAACAATCAACAAGTGGGATCTCTTCTTATTAAAAGGCTTCTGCACAGCAAGAGAAACCATCAGCAGTGTGAAGAGACAACCCACAATGTGGGAAAAAATCTTCACCTGCTCTTCCTCAGACAAAGGTCTACTATCTCGAATCTATAAAGAACTTAAAAAGATCAGACCTCCCAAATTGAAAGACCCAATCCAAAAATGGGCATCTGAAATGAACAGACATTTCTCAGACAAAGAAGTAGAAATAGCAAATAAATACATGAAAAAATGTTCAACATCACTGGTCTTTTGAGAGATGCAAATGAAAACAACACTGAGATTCCACTTCACTCCAGAAAGAATGGCTGCTATCATGAAATCAACTAATAACAAATGCTGGCAGGGCTGTGGGAAAGAGGAACACTGCTCCACTGCTGGTGGGAGTGTAGACTGGTACAACCACTGTGGAAATCAGTATGGAGATACCTCAAAGAACTAGGACTGGAAGTCCCATTTGACCCCGCTATTCCACTGCTGGGGATCTTCCCCAAAGAATTAAAAGAATCATACCACAGTGATATATGTGCACCCATGTTCATAGCAGCACAGTTTGTAATAGCTAAAACTTGGAAACAGCCCAAATGCCCATCAACTGGAGACTGGATAAAGAAAATGTGGTTTTTTTATAAAATGGAGTACTACTCAGCCATAAAAAATGAGAAATTAGAGGCATTTATAGCTAAGTGGATACACATTGAGGCCATACTCTTCAGTGAAATAAATAGGACACACATGAATAAATACTGAATAGTTTCTCTGGTGTGAGAAACTGAAAGTGTAAATAAGGACTAAAATGTATAATAGGTAATGTGAAATAGGAAGAAAAGGGGCAAAGTGGAAGGAAGTGGGAGGGCTAGGGGAAAGGATAGAAGAGAATGGGATTAATATGAGAAAATGGAAAAAGAGGAACAAAATCTTTGTAAATAGGGAGGAATGGAGGGGTTGAAGGGAGGGCTGGGCAAGGGTGAAAAATAAGAACCAAGAAAGACTATGTAAAGGCGCAAATTTCCAATGATGAATGTCATTATATTGTATACCTAAAATGTACCAATGATTAGAATGAATAATCGATGATGCAAAATAGGAAGAAAAGGTCCAAAGGGGTAGGGATGTGGGAGGGGCAGGGGAAAGGAAAGAAAGGAAAGGAAAAATGATGAGAAATGGAAAAAATGGAAATAAAGTCTTTGTAAATAGGGAAGGGTGGAGGGCGTGAAGGGAGGGCTAGGAATGGGGAAAAAATAAGAACCAAGATGCATTATGTAAAGGTACAATTCCCAATGAGAAATGTAATTGTGCTGTATACCTACAATGTACCAATAAAAGAATTTAATAATAAAAAAGAAAGAAAAAAATAAAATAAAATAAAATAAAATGACAAAGAGAGATAAAGTACTTACAGGATGACTGACACCCAAACAGCATTAAATATACACTAAATGAACTGTAACAAAGTATCCCACTCTAACAGGATCTAAGTGGGAAATTCCTAAAAAGTCTAACTATGTATATTTTGAAATTTCAACATCAAAGATACAGAAGGAAATATAACAAGAGTAGTTGAACAATAAATATTCTCATCAATCTTTTTAATTAGGCTTATAGTGAAAAACGACACACAAATCTATCTTGGAAGCCCGTCATCAGAAGTAAAATGGCAAAGAAAAGGTGAGAGATGTGACAAATCTTCAAAAGGAGAAAATAATTTTTTTTCTGGTTAACCAAAAGAAAACACCATTTGAAGTGGAAAAGTATAGCTCTAATGTGCCTTTTAAACTTATGTGATACTATGCATTTATCTTTCTCTCCTATAAGGCAGCAGTAATACTTAATACCTAGTTTATATCAACAGCCACAGCTTCTGCCCAATTTTATCAACCACCTTCTAACTTTCCCTCTAAATTCTTGTTAATTTTCAATGAACATTTATTTTATTTGAAAAATCATCTAAAGAAAAGAGTCTGATTTTCATACAAGTACATATGAATACAAATTCATGCATAACCCTGGTTATAATAAAAAATCATGAAGTACTTTTATATCTGCAAGATCAAAGATATGTGATGTTTTTTAAATATGTAGCAGTAAGAAAAAGAACTGAAAATCATGCTGATGTGCTCATGCCTTACCAAGTGCCCACAGTCTTTTGCTATCTTGTCTCATTTGCCCTATGGAACTAGCTCTATATAAATGATACACTTGGGTAAAAAAAGACTTTTTTGGATGCTGGAGGTTACCTAAATGCCATTTAGTAAATAATTACTTTGATGTATTACTAAAAGACAGTTTAGGAATAGTTCTCCTGAGAAAATCCTGAAAGAAAAGAAGGCACACCATATTTACCAAAAATATGGAGTTTGCCTGCCCTGGCACTAATTTATTTAATCCTCACTGCACCCAAATGATATAACGACTATTCACACAAATATGGATGAGGAAAATGAGGCACAAATTAACTTCTTACTCACAGAGGGCTTATCATACATAATCCAGGAATTGTGTCATTAAACCTAACTTATCTGAATGTAAAAGTCATCAGCTCCACACTGCTTCTAGGGACTGAACTGATTTTTACCATGTTTGTTATTTGCAACAGTGCTGCTGAATCTTTAACATGCATCCTACTACTCCTGGATCTTGCTAAAGCACTTTCTGATTCTCTAGGTCTTGAGTGAGACATTGGCTGCATATCTAACAAATGCTTAAGGACAAGATCCACATTTTAGAGATCCTGGGGGATACAAATAGTCTTCTATAGAAATTTGACACCTTTTTTTTTTTGGTCACCAGGGATCGAACTCAGGTCCTTGCGCTCGTGAGGCAGGCGGCGGAACCACTGAGCAAAATCCCTGGCCCTTTGACAACTATTAATAACAGCTGTACATTAAAATCATAAATTAGAACTTGTTATGATTTAGCTATAAAATGCCTCCAAAAATCTCATGTGTTCAAAGATGAGGCCTGATCAGAAGACACAGGTCAGAGGAGCAGAAGGGACTGATCAGAGGACCAGGACCAGGGCAAGATCAGAGGACCAGGAAGGGTGTGGTTTTCCCTGGCTCTCCCATCTCTCGATCTGCATCTGGATCACCATGACATGAACAGCTTTCCTCTGATCGGCCCTTCCACCATGCTTGGAGCTAGCCAACCATGGAATATACTCAATGAAATTTTGAGCCAAAATAAACTTCTACTTTAAGTTGCAGGTATCAGGTATTTTGTTGCAGTGATGGGAAAGCTAATACAGAAAACTGGTACTAAAAGTGGGCTCATGGTTATGATTATACCTGACCATGTAGTTCAGATGCCTTTGGAAATTGTTTGCAGGAGGAGTTTGGAAATGTTTGGAGAGGTGGGCTAGAGAAGTTAGATTGCTATAAGCAGAGCTTAACAGGTAATTCTGCTTGGAACTCAGAAAACCAGAATGATGACAGTAACACAGAGAAGGCCAACCTCAAGAAGTTTCAGTTGGGAAAAAAGACTCCATTGGCAGTGAGACTAGAGTCCACGCTTGTTATATCCTAGCAGAAAGTTCTCTATTTTGTCCACATTCTAACACTTTGTGTGATACCAAATTTAAATATGGTGGACTAACTAATCCAGTGGAGGAAATTTTAAGGCAGCCTAATTTCAAGGCAGCCCAAAGTCAAGACTGTGCCATATGTACTACTGCCTGATTTTTGCCAGATCTCCAGAGAAAATTTGCAGCAAAAAGCAGATATAAAAAGTCTGCAGTTTCATCAGAAAAAAAAGTACCTGCAAAGTTGCAGACAAGAGAACATGGTTACTGAAAAGATTCGCTTTAAAAAGGATCCAAGTACCTTGCATTGGAACAATAGGAGAGATGGCTTGAAGGCAACTCAGGAACTGGCCAAACCTCACCTTTCCCAGGTTCAAGGATTTAAAATAGTAAACAACTTTGAAAGACTACATTTTGAGAAGAGAGCCCCAGGGACCCAACTCATTCAGGGCTACCTAGAAAAG